TATGATTAATATGTATAAGTTCAGGAAGGGGGAATGCAGGGAGGAAGGGGACAGGCTGTTCTCACTGGTGGCCAGCGACAGGACGAGGGGTAATGGCCACAAGCTGAAGCACAGGAAGTTCCATCTCCAGGTGAGGAGCAACTTCTTTCCTGTGAGGGTGACAGAGCAGTGGAACAGGCTGCCCAGGGAGGTTGTGGAGTCTCCTTCTCTGGAGGTCTTCAAAACCTTCCTGGATGCCGCCCTGTGCCACATGCTGTAGGTGTGCCTGCTTGAGCAGGAAGGTTGGACTAGATGATCTSTAGAGGTCCCTTCCAACCTTGAATATTCTGTGATTCTGTGATTAATGGGGCAGGAGCTGAATTCCTGCCTATTTATGCATTAGGCATTCCTGCCTATTTAGAGCATTATGTTGTGAATGGGAATAGACTGCAATTCTGCCCTTTTATGTTTGGCCTTTCACTTTATACTTCATCCCATCCCTTTTACTTCACTTCTTGGGGTTATCCAGTTGCTCCAGAATGACATTTCAGTTCTCCAGTTAATGATGTTTTTYGTCTTAGGGGTGAATCCTTCTCCCATACTGATATAAAAAAGAAGATACGTGTAAAGGAGAATGCCAATTGCACTAGGCTCTTTACACAGTCATTGAAGACAACAGGATCCTCCAGACAGGGATTCAGAGTAGTGGGATGACTTGGCTTCCCTGGAGAAGCCTAGAATAGGCTTTGCTTCTGACTCATCCTCTTGAGGAGTCTTTTTTTGTCCTGATTACATACAGCGTTTAGGTGGGACGTTTTCTTTGGTGTCAGTCAGCAATTTTCATTAACATATAAAATGCTCTTCTCTTACAAGAACATTGATGAAGAGAAGACCAAAGCAACATTTATGAGCTCCAAAAATGGTGGGTAGACCAGCAAGATGGGAGGTGTTTTTTGAAATACACTTCATAGCACTTCATAGCTCATTGTAAATAACACCAGTCGGGCACTGCAGACCCATGCAGAGTCACGACTMTAGAGTGAGCTATTAGGCAAGACTAACAGATCCTAGGATGTAAACAAAGGGGAGTACCGGATAACATTACAGATGTTATTTTTGCCTTAGTACACTGAATTGAAAAGCCTCTAACTAGAATTCTGTGTTTAATTCTGGAATCCACATTTCATAGAGGAGGTACGTTGTATATAGGTTAATCACTGACCGAGGGAACACAAAAATATGGCAACAGAAAGGAGGTAATTCAGAGGACAAACAGTTCAGACTCACAAAAGTGCATGACTAAGTCTGGCAGCTACAAGTGAAAGTAGAAATGAGCCCGAAATTGCACAGAGCTACCATGATTAATTATTTGGATGGATTAAGGAAGGAGGGTGCGTGTCCAGTATTATTTGAAGTTTTTAGAGAAAAAAAAAAAGGCCATGTTTTTATGAAGAAGGATCTGAAGAATCCTTTTTGYTTTTATGAAGAAGGATCTGAAGAATCTGAAGAATTTGAAGAATAGTGAAAATTATAAAGTCTCTGTGTAAGGAATTTCAGCGAATATCATGTCACCACTTACAGCCGTTAAGTCTATGAATTACAGAATATATAGAGAGATACAAAGAATTTATATTTTGAAGTCTATGGGTTATGTGTTGGAGTCTTAATACCTTTGAAACTGTTTATTCTTTGACTGTAATATTTGAAAATTAGTCTGTGAATACAAATGCTACAGTGTTCTGAGCAACTTTCCTATCTGATCCTACTTGTTTCACAAGATTTTCCCCTATACTTTGCTTCGAAACTTGGCAAGTAAATCTGATCGGGAGAGAGGTGAAACATGGGGTTTCARTGATGAAATCCAGCTGATGCTCAAAGTGAAAATTCAGGTCCAGAGCATTCTTAGAAGGCCAGTGAGAAAGAAAACAGCAAGCTAAGAAATGGAAGTTGGATATTTTTACATATTTTACACCTGTTTGTCAAGTAGATCGTGCAAGAAGATCAGAAGTATTGACTTCAATAGCAATTTTTGCCAGCTTTCTCTCTGCTATCTCCCTAATGGATGTGGAAGTAAGTCAGGTATGTGCAGAAAATCTCTGAGAAGTTTGGCCTGACGTCCTTACGGCAGCAGAATTACAAAACTGAATCGTTATCTGACCCTACTGAAAGCTGCATTCASCTTGTGTTCAGCAGAAGGTAAATTCCGTTTTGGGCTCATCTGCTTCTCTTCCCCATTACCCACTTCAGAAGTAGATTCATTTTCTTGACCTATTTTAGGCAGTTTAAGTCTTTCTGTCAGAACTGATAACAGGGTTTTGGAAGAGCCTGTATGTACACACACACACACACACACACACATATGTATATGTGGCCTCTATATGTTGTACTAAATTCAGACTATCTCAGTTACTTGACTGTCATGTGAAAGAAGTGCTGTATGTGGACAACTTAAGATCAAACCCTTTCTTCAGCCTGATCATCAAAGCCCATGTGTAGGATGTGCAGTGAGGTTCACTCATCTTTTCTAGAGGAAAAATCACCACAGGAGGGTTTTACCCACTGCTGTTCTGCAGGGAATTCAGCCGCAGTATTAAAATTTTTGTTTGCAGTTTGACCTTCATTGAGCAGTTGAGTGGACCCTTGGTTTGTCCTATTACTTTTGTTGTAACAGTAGAGTGGAGAGCTGCAAGTTCAGAGGTGGCTCCCTCTAGTTTGCAGCAGAGGTTTTTTTTTCTCCTTGGTGATGAGCTGAGGTTTTCCATCAGCAGCTCCTCTCTACTGTGTTAGCAAGCATTTTGATTAATGAAAAGGCACCACAAAAACATAGCATTTACATGCACAGTAAAATGTTTCTTTGGCAGCATATCCTAGATCTAGAAAAATTGTAGTGTTGTTCATATTTCAAGTTAATGAATGTCAGGTAGGAGAAGGTCTACATTATGTTAAAAGTGACAAATGATCAGTGGAAAGAGGATCACAATAATACCTTTCATTTGCTTTGGCTGGAGTGAAAATGCTTAGCTGGTTGTTGGCATATGTAAAGGTCACAAATAACATGGGCAGAGAAAACCTACTGTTTATGTCAACTTCAGTCTATTCTTTTAATAAATGTCCTGTTGCAATGAAAGTTGCAGTTCTTAAGGATATAGTGAGGATATATACATATATATAGTATGTGTGTGTGGATGGATGGATGTATTTTTTAAATATATATATATATATATATATACACACCATGGCATAATCTGATTATACAATAGCATGAATGTGCTATCAGAGGGAATGGTTTGGTAATTAAAATAGGTATTTTTGAATGCTTTATTTTGCTACTCTGTTTTCTTATCTCATTTAATTTCATGTATTTGTTTTTACTGTCCTAATTGTTAAAGCTGTAGTTTCAATTTTCTTTCTAACTGAACCATTTTAACAAGATTTTATCAGCTTCTGAGGCTCTTCCATGCATCATCCTGGTCACTTTGTACATAAAGTCTCCCATATGAAGCACATCTGCAAGGTCAAGAGAACGTGTCCAGCTATTCGAGTAACTTTGTTGGTGGAGAGATGAGATAAATGGTTTCATGTCTATTTTCTCTAAAAAAAGTTCTGAAATTAATACCACATAGGGAAATGTCTAAGGTGAAAGATTATACAAAGCAGTGAACTCCATGAGTGTACACWTTTTTCCTAAGTATAGCTGATTATGGATACTTGTGCACTTCTAAAGAACCACAACTAAGGCAGTTATGTATAATTCAAAACCTCACTCAGCAGTGCTGAAGATCCATAGCCTCATAATACTCATTCAGCCTGTAAAAGACACTGCTAAACCCTCAGCCAAGAGAAATGGGCACTGATCTGGGAAGAAGCTGCCTGCTTTCTGCCTCCTTTCTTCTCTTCTTTCTGCTATCCTGGAATGTTGCTGTAAATGGGAAGGCTGAAGAACAGACTGTAATCCTTTGGGGAACAGTCCTGCTTTAGTCAGAGTGAATGTGGAGATGGACTGAAAGCCTAAGTAGCAGTCTTCATTCCCCACTGTTTTTCAAGGACTAATTTCAACTAATTCTAGGTTGCAGAGCAGCAGCAACATCAAGAGGAGATCCTTGTAGGCTTAATTAAACTGAAGGAATCCAATATGRTTAAGTGGATTAGTTGCTCCGCACTGTTATTTGATTTTGTGCCCTGGAGGCAATTCTTAGAGTAGATTTGGCTGCCCACTTGGCTTGACATCGTTCCTGGAGGTGTGCACAAGCCTCAGCAGAAACACCTCAGACTCTTGGCTGCCCTTACACACTTACGGGTATAACCTGTGTTGGGTAATCACCACTTCTAGATTATTTGCTGAGAATTAGAGGAAGAATGTGGAGAAATGAGAAGCAGAATGTGGTCATACAGGCAAATAGGTGGAGACCTGCGAGCAGTTCTTCTTTTTAGAATACACATACACTTGTGAATGAAAGAAGTCTGTGGTTACAATTTCTTTGAAAGCAAAAAACAATTTTAAGAAACTTTATCGTTTTCAGTTAAATTAAAATGATGACTTTATGCATGTAGAGTGTAGATTGCTCTGTCTTGGTTCAGATAGGAACAMACCCTGAAGGCAAGGATGTGGCCCATGCTTGCACACAGCGATGCAGCTCACTGTTATGTGATTTCTTAACGTTCATGCCACAATATTCTCTTACCTTGCAAAGTGCAGAGTTTATCTYGGATCTCAATTTTAATTACATAACCTCTGATTTTGCGTCAGACTTACTTACTGAAACAAGCATTTACTATTTTAGCTATAACTGCAACTTTTCACAAAAATGGGGGAAACTAATATAAATGAGGGCCCCATGGAGCTTCAGAGTCAAGGTTATATAGACCAGATAGCTCTTTGTGGTTGTAAAGGGTTGTACCTCTTAGAGGGTTTGTACCTCTCAAAGGGTTGTACCAGCCCAGATACTTCTTTATTATGAATATTCTGTCAACTTTGTGTATTTACAAGTTAGAAATGCTGGTGTTTTCCCCTTCCTTTTCAGATGACACTGGTTGTCCCAGTAGCCAGTCAGTATCTCCAGTTAAGACTCCTTCTGATGCTGGAAACAGTCCCATCAGTTTTTGCAGTGGCAGCGATGGAGACTTTGCCAGAAAGAAATTTCATTCAGGGGCAATGAGTGAAGGAAACCTGCAGGTGGCTCGGTATAAGAAGGAGACAAAGACAAGCCTTGTAAAGCCCGGTAAGTATATCACAGCTCCTTTCATGTTTTTAATTATACTTTTTAACAGGGTAATATAGCTATAGATGTTTAAATACATTGTGCTGTGCTACTGGTGACACAACTAGTTTTAATAGTACATAATTTGGTTCTTTCTGTGGAAACAGATTTGAGAGCAATGTATTATTTTTTTTCATGGAAATATGATTAATTGATATCTTCACTTTCTTTGGTGAGACTAGATGTCAAATAACAATTCATTTGGATTTTCTGCTCTACCATCGTAGTTTCACRGGTATTTCACTGGGCAAAGAAATATGACTCTAATATCAAAACAAAGAATTAGTCTTTTCATGGTGTTAGGTTTATGGTTAGATCCTGCCTACAGTTTATGCTATCAAGTTGTGACAGTTCTGGGGATATCCAATGCCAAGCCAAAGCCAAAGCAAATCAAAGGCCAGTGTAAATGTGGGAGTTGATGTACAGTGCATCATCTGAATCAAGAGTATGTCACACTTCCTCAGGCTAATGAGCCCCCTTGGACCACCAGTTTTATCAGCACTTGCCTGTCACACATCCAAAACTAAATATCTTGGGGTTTCATAAGCCAGTGTAACTTTAGTGGGCAGATGATATAAAATACTTTTGTGACTCTTGTATAGTCAACTCTGGCAAATGGGCTTTACAAAGGATACTTGGGCTACTATTTAAGTAATCATGGTTCCAGAGAGTATGGTTTGGCACTACGCCGAGTCAACTGCAGCCAACACAGTTTGTTAGCTCAAGTACTTCATGGCTATACTGTAGGGCTGTTTTGTCTCTGGAAACCGTTTTGCTATTTTGATTCGGAGCCAGCTCAGACTTTCCATCACCATGTTTCCGGAATAAGAAACAGTAGAAAAACTGGCACAGAAATATATCACTGCCTTTGTCATTGAAAGGGCTAAGTGAATCTAACTTAACACAAGCCCAGGAAGGCTCTTCAGCCTATTTCAGAGGACCCAGAATAGCTGTGTTTTTCCCAGTTTTCCATTACTCTGCAGAGTATGTCTTGTTTTCTGTTGCACTTAAATCAAGAAATCTAATGCAAGTGGAATGAAGTGGGCGTAGTATATGGCAGTCAAATGTGCAAGCATGACTTTCACAAGCAGTTTGTATGTGAATACAGTTGTAACCCAAGAAAATGTGAGTAAGTTTTTGAGAGCTACATGGTGGTATACTTGTGGAAGAGTTATACACTTCTCTCATCAAGTAACTTCACTGTTTTCAATTATTACATTGGATCAAACTACAGTATTGAGTTAATAGCCATCAGCATTGAAAGTCTTAAGTCAACTTCATTTACTTAAGTCAAATCTCTGAACTGACTTGAAGAACTGTGTTTTGAGAACTGTGTTTTTAAATGGCGCCTCTTCTAGATAATGGTTTTTTGTAACAGTTTTACCTGTTTATACTTGTGTCTCTTTTCCTAAATTACTTGGAACTTCCCAAGCAGTTTCAGCTAAATATAAAAAAGAGCAGATGAATCAGTAAGGTTGCAAGAGCATAAATTGGCTAAAGGCTGAAAGGGGGAAACAAAGGCAATTTAAGTGGAATTCTGATATATTTCAGATGGGAAAAAAAAAGAAAAAAAAAAAAGAAGAAAAAAAGTGCTCAGTCCAGCTAARTCAAAGACAGTTTGGCTTTATGACATTCTTTCGGGCAGCTTGACATACTGATGTTCTCATCCATGTTTTGAAGCTCTAATTTGTCATATGTGTCATTTCGTTTTAATATGGCTCCATTTTTGTAGGTTGACCGTTCTGTGCCTATGTGTTGATTGATTAAACTCTAAGGTTGGAAAATTATTTCAGGAATTCAAACATATCATTCATGGAATCTGTCAAAACTCAGAGGAGGAAATGGTTCTGATTGATAATAGGTCTGCTATATAGTCACCTCAAAGTACTTCAGAGTTCCTCCTGCTAATTACTCCATGGTTTTGCTAGCGTAAAGTCATCAAAAATCACATTCAAGTCAGCATGAGAGGTGACACAAGAGAACGGCATTCTCAGAATGGAAAGGAAGCCAAGAGATAGCCAGCTTCGTTTTCCTCACTTTGGTCCTCAGAAATTGGTGCAATTCACTTCCTTTCTTATATTAAGTGGATCTGTTTCATTTCTTATGTCCTTTTTTGTGCATGAATGTGAAAGTCACCTCTCAGATGACCCACTCAAAAAGATCTGGTCCTTGTACAAAAAGATATRCCTATAATTTAGCAAAGCATGGAAGGAGTAACCAGGAAGCGATAGAAGTGGGCTGGGGGAGCAGAAAGCAGCAATGCATCCATGCCATTACATGGCTGCTTCTGCCTGCCTGAATACCGCCAAGATTCGTGCCACAAATGTCTGCATTTTATCTTTCTGTYTAATGGAATTTTTCACTGATTTATGGATACAATCCTGGCATAGTATTTGTCTAGRAAGCTCTGGTGATAATGACTGCATAGCAGGAGTCAAATATCAAAGACAAACATCCAGGGCACCACTGTCTCTGACAGAGTTGCAGTTCCGTAGGCAAGTGCATAAATCAGGGTGCACCTTCAGACTACCCTGCCATTTTACTGAAAATTTATCTCTTTCCAGCACTGATTCCTTGGAACATCATAAGTCACACTCACACAAATATTTAGATAACTCAGGAAATGTCAGAGTGGGATAGCACTGAGAATGAACCCTTGGGACTTTTTAAAGCTGTTCCCAAGCACCAGTGTTTTTGGCTGCTCTAGCAATATCACTTCATCTTTCTTTTCTGTGCTTAACAATAYCAAATACAGCAGAGCTTTCCTTTCTGTAACAGCCTAAGATATCATTATATGTGTCTAAGTGATATTCAGCTCTCAAAGTAGTAATGCGCTGGATTTGCAGTATCTTTTGTAATTTATTTTGTCTGCATAGTGAACTGTACTTAAGCCTAGAATGCGTTATTGCTGTACCTTGCTAAACCTCTGAGAATTTTATTATCATAGGAATGTTATTCATTTGTGATAATTGATAATATTTCTATTCTGCGTTAMATGTGGATAACAGCAATATTATAGATGAGTTTCAAAATAAATTTCCAAATGAGTTGAAAAAATCAAACTGACATTATCATTCAGCACTGGCTTAAAATCTGGCACTACTTTCCATACTACTTTCCATGGAGAGGAAAAGTAAATGATGAAATAATATAACATCCACTCCATAAAGAAATGTAAAACCATTAAATTTCAGGATTTTAGAAAGGAATCCTCTTTTGGAGTTGATTCATTTTTTGTAGTATTAAAAGCACAAAAAATTTATTGCAGAGAATGGCCCCAGCAGAAAGGAGTGTAGAATACTTGGTTGATACTAGTGCTATTTTTGTCTGCAGGTGCTGTACCGAGACCTACAGTGTCTGTAAATGTATAGATGGAACCTGAGTGCTTCTATGAATTCACATTACTGTTCTATTCCTGAATTCCTGCTGCTGATGTCAAAATATTAGTAAGGGTAGTGGGAACTATTTGCMACTTTACTTTCTTTGACAGTCTTTCTCCTCTCATTTTTGGCTTTCGTAAAAGTGTTCAGAGCAAGCTGGAAATTCGTGATAAGCTTACAGAGAAACGTGGGGAAGGAAAGGAATCTCAGGCGTGAGTTGTCGCAATAACTTTTAAAAGGCTTGTAGGCTTAAAGCAACACAAAGCTCTGTGTGGTCTTAAATGTCTGTAATTCTAGAACGGCACCTGATCAGCTGCGTTCAGCACTGCTGGCAGGAGCTCTGCTCTTCACTTTCCTGCTCTTGGGGTCATGGGCAGCCTCAGTCCAGCTTCCAGAGCCATTTGAGTGAGGTCTATGTTGGGGCTGTCTCACAGAGTCTCCTCAATGACTGGAGTTTCACATAAGATCACTAAGACTTGAGACATGAAGACTGTCCCAGACCTACCAAAGTAGCTGCTTTCAGCCCCTTAGGAGCCTACCACGCAGAGATTAAACACCACAGCATTAAAGGAATCCTAGATAAGCAGCAGTTAAGGTCATCCCCAGTTTTGTAAAGTCTGACTGTTGACATTCACAGCTCTGTTCAGTAATAACCACCCCAGGTAGCAGCAGACTATACAGAAAAGTTCTTCTCTTTCACTTACTGATAAAACGTTTTGCCGTCTATTACTGAATCTGGTTAAAATAGTAACACTTTGGAGTAAACTTTKGAACTGCAATGTATTAAATTTCAGGAGCATTAGTCATTTAAAATGAAGACATGAAAGCTTCATTCTGGTCAAGTTAATAGGAAAGTCTGTGAGGTTTTAACCACACAGACCACCTCCTGTTGCTGCCGCGGCCTCTATTCCTCTATGTASTTGCATTGTCCGCATCTGCTGCTCAGCAGCTGCTTTGTGGTCCTTTGTGATCTTCCTTCTGTGGGTTTAACAGCCGTGTACTTTCATATCTGAGTTCATAGGAATGAAAGAAAAAAAWAAAAGTTGTCTTAATAATCATCAATTAAAAATATCTTTTAGCTTTACAGCCATAATAAGTAAAGTTGTACTCGACACGTGCTGCCATTATGGTCTTTTCACTTCCTCCTGATATACTTCTCRAGTCATAAGTGAGCAAATCCTGGGTGGGGTGTCCCAGTCTGAACAGATTAATCCTTGAAAGTGTTAGGACTGATAGGGCTTTTAGAAGTGACAGCTAAAGCAGCCTGTGTTGGCCTTAAATTGATAGTGAACACTGAGAAGGCAGAGATACTTTTTTAATTAGCTTTAGAGCTGAGCAAAGTTAACAAAAAAGGAGACAAGGAGGGTGATTTCCCAGGGCATTTGAGAATAGTGTAGTTAGAAGCAGATAAACAATCAGATCAGATAAGAAATGCAAATCTAGCTGCTAAACTATAGTGATCTTCCTGCTGATTTTTTTTCTTTTGATCTTGCAAATAGGCATGAGATTCCTGGGATACTGAGTGACCATCAACTTGTTTCTGGGCTCATCTTCTACAAGGCAGGGGTAGTGACCAGTTAG